CTAATAAATAAGATGGATGAAAAAGCTATACTATGAACACACTTAACATATCACTCTGCTAAAAATTGATGCCAAAAGCATGCATGGGCCTCTATATTATTTGAGGGTGCCTGAGGAGAAGAAATAGGAAACTTTAGTTGAAAATAGAATTTGCTAAAATTACCAAGCTTTTGATTTCTCGTTTCCCTAGGATGTTGGCTTGTGGCTGGAAGAGATCAATCTTGGTGGCTATTGCCAAATTTTCAAAGAAAATGGGATCAATGGGGAGTATTTAGAAGGGATGTCCATGTTTACAACTGAGCAGATACTGCGGTTCATAAGGAAGTGCCACATGAAATGGGGGGATTTCATAACCTTGTGCAAGGAGCTTAGGCGAATAAAAGGTCTCTCTCTCTCTCTCTCTCCTCTCTCTCTCTCTCGTATTGACATTATGATTTTGTACAGTCACTTGTTTAAATGGGCTCTGACATGAACTATTCTACAGTGTAACCTGGATTCTTTTATTTAAATTCTTCTTACAATTAAAGAAAAAACGACAAGTAGAAGTTTTGCCATCTTCTCCTAGTTCCACCACTTGCAGCAGCTGCCACCGCCATTAGTAGATTGCCGACCCCAGCACCACCAACCTCCGCCAAAATACTATCCACTTATTATCCATATATTCCGTAGGAAACCCAGCTTATAAGTATTCGAAAGCACCTCCAAACAAGCACTTAATCAGATTTGATATTTGGCAGTTGGGGTTTCGAGGGAGTAGACAGTGGTGCTGGTGGACATAGATTATCCTTTCCCAACTCTGGAAGACATAGCTCTAAAGATGGATATTAATTCTTATTTTTATCTCACATTTTCCTTTTTTCTGAAGAAATACGTTTTTGTTGTTTTTTGGTTTTTTAGTCAATAATTGAATGGTGGTTTGGGAATTTTATGGGGAAAGTGATCAATTTTTGGAGTATATATTTCAACATACTATTTTTTTGAACTTTATAACAAAAAAAAAAAAAAAGTTAATGAACCTGGTTGTAGGGCTTGTTTATTTATAGCATAAAATCGGAAGCAGTAATCTGATACCTATTTATAATAATTCTTAAGCTCAAGGGTAAATCTACAGCTTAATTTGAGAAAAGATGTTACTGACATTGTGGGCCTGTTCCTTCTATCCATGCTGCCTAACACCTTAATCTTTTAGGAGTTTGATCTCTCTGTTGCTCCTTTCATGAGAAAATACTGTCTGTTTGTATAATCTCTCATGTATTAAATTTAGAATACCCTCCAGGTTGAGGTGACTACAGACATTGTCCATGTCTGTTATGAATGTATTATGATTATCAGTATTATAATTACTAATTAGTATTAACAGCATTGCAAACAAATCATTTTCATTCATTTCTTGGGTCTAACAGTAGAACAAAGTTTAGATTTCTTTATTTCAGCGTGGATTTCATCTGCTACAATTGATCTAGGGAAAATTGCACTGGAGGTCCCCAACCTATGTAATTGTAATGGTTGGTCCCGATCTAAGTTCATTGGCAAGAGTCATAGTCATTCTTTCAAGTTTTTAATGTATACCAAGTTAGTTCCCAGTGAACCCAAACACTTTAAAAGGCACGTGTATCTTTTTGAGGGTTACAATAGGTAAACATTTAATGTCAATAAAAACATAAAGAAAAAATAGGAGAAAAAGGAAAAGAAAAATAACTGAACTGTCATTGTCTTCACTTCTGCCAACCCCCTCCAGCCCAACGCGCCACACCCCGCCACTCTGTTTCCCCTCCCAAAGCTGACTTCAAACTGGCTGGCATGGCTTAAAGCCTTCATCATTCAAAATGTCCAATATCCTATTCTCCTTAATTGGAGCTTCTTTTTAGGCCACTATATTGGTGCTTAAAAAGAAGCATAAGCACGAACAAACATGCTTTTAAAATTTATACGGGTTTGAAAACTTTTTAGGTTGCTCCTAATCCATTAACCATGGAAGGGGAATGATGTGGGGGCAGTGGGGGTTGGGGGAATAGGTTGACGGTGTTAGGAAGGGGGTTGGGAAATGGTGTGAAGTGGGTACTTTCTTTCCATCATTCATTTTTCTTATTTATTTTTATTTCAATCGAGTGTTTGCCTATATTACCCTTTAAAAAATTTGCCTTTTTCATGGTCAACTGGATGGAAAACAGTCAATAGAAAATTAATTTGCTATAAACTTGAAAGGCTGTGGATAGTCAACGACTTAGATTGGAGACTACAACTTGCATAGTTTTGGGGACCTCCAATGCAATTCTTCCAGTGATTTTGGCAGCCTTTTTTAATTTTTCTTTCTAATCTGAAATTGAGAATCTTTATTGTTTCTGAACTTGGTATAGTGGCTTGCTTGAAAGGGGAGCAAAAGGTTCACTGGCCTTGGTGGGCCCCATCTTGTCTTTCAATAGTATTCGTCAAATCTGAAAAACGTAGCAGGCAGTCCCGGGTTGTTTCATTGAAGCTGGAACCTTGATATAGATACCCAAAGGGAAGTACCTTTTCCTCTGGGGTAAGGAAAAATCAAGTTCAGGCTTGTATGTATGTACAATAATTTTTCTTTTACTTTTGTGGAAAAAAGAAAGAAGGAACAAACACATGTTTACATATTGTCTTGGGTTTTGCCAACAATGTTTGGTTCTTCTTTGGAGAACCATCCATTTTTGTCAGAACCCATACTAGATGATGTAATTTGATACTATTGCTAGGAATTTGATTAGGAAGAAAAACAGGAACGAAATACTGTGCAAGTGATTATGTGCATTTATGTTGTTAATTATTAGAAAGAAGGAACAAACACATGTTTACATTGTTGTCTTGGGTTTTGCCAACAATGTTTGGTTTTTCTTTGGAGAACCATCTATTTTTGTCGGAACCCTTACCAAATGATGTAATTTGCTTCTTTTGCTTGGAATTGATTTGGAAGAAAAACTGGAACGAACTACTGTGCAAGTGATTATGTGCATTTATGTTGTTCATAATATCACTTTAACATGTACCTTAAATAAATTTTATGAGCTCCTTTTGCATAAATGTCTTTATCCTTCCTCAGTGACAATTTTCTGGCAAGGAGAAGGACTTGTTGGTTATAATAATTGGTAAGTCATGTCAGGCTGAAGCATGCAAAGGAGAAGTGAAAGACAAGGAATACGAATTTGTGATTTTGATGGTACCTACTGTTTGTTTCAAGAACCGATTAAGTATTGTTCCTACTTATACTTCAATTCTATTTTGAGCGACCTGCTTCAGCAAACTGTATATGTGCAGCTCTGATGAATGTTTTTCTTTCATTGGCTATAAGTTTAAGGCTCGGTTTGGTAAGTAGGATTGGACGAGGGATGAGACAGTTCAGATCTTTGCTTTGTGATTCTGTTAGCTGAATGGATTGATGACATACATTTTCTATCACTTTGTTTTGTTTCCTTTTCTTTCTAGTTACATTTAGCTCTCGATGGGACATGGCTTATTGGTTTTAATATAGTGTAGAGTATTATGTAGACAAGTGACCTAGACTCTTGACGTTACATTGTCTATGTTTTCCTTCTCGTATCAAGTATTATAAAAATTGGGTTATGCTACATGTACATAACGTTTTACATAATGATTACTAATTAGAGACGTGAGGAGAGTAATTGGATTAAAATCTCATCAATCTAACATTGGCTCAAAAGTTTGCCCTTGCCACCAAGTTAAAGGAAGTATAGGAGACAACAGAAAGAAGCAATGCAGCTAGTCTGGCTGTAAAAATCAACTATGATCAAATTGAAGCCTGGAGGATACACCTCGTATCATCAAAGCAGCCATGCGAGTAAAATTCCCCCAAGGATCCAATTTTGTTTTGACGACAAAGGAAGTATAGGAGAGTCTAATGCATTAAGCTAGTTTATGTTGCTGGTCCCGTGTAAAAAGTCACAATAGATGCCTTCACCATGGAAACAACCGTGCCTTCACCATGCACTGGAGGTTAGGTTAACTAGCTTTGATACCATTTGGAAATTTTGAATTAAAAATAATTGAGAGAGAGAAACAGGGAGGAATAGAGAATTCGTATAACAATTCTCTCTTTTCAATTTTCAAGTGAAAAGACTCTATACATAGTATTACTCTATACTCCATAAGAGGAATGTTCTAACTCTCTACCATGATATTTCCTATTAATACATACCATAATTAGTACTATAGAGGCTTCCCATAATCGGTCTTCTACAAGTAAAAGGACACCAATGAACAGGTATGTCAAAACTTCAAACACTAAATAATTAGGTACAGTTTTGGTTTATGTCAACATGTGCCATACAACAATTGGTTGGTAATATCACCTCATCAGCCTATGTGACAATTATATAGACACTATATGCGAGTTAATTATCAATCATGCTACATGCATACTTCATTTAACATCAAGTTTGACATTGTGTCACGTGTTGTGGCATGAGTGGACAGTTTTAAAATAAAATACACTTTTCCGTCCATTTGCATTTAAAAATGTAAAATGATTCAAGTACATGGAATTTTTACTAGAATTGGACCAGATTTTTGAATTCCAACTCAACGCAATGTATAAAATATTAAAAAAAAAAAAAAAAATTCCCCCCCAAAAGTTGTGTGTAGTATGCAGGTACACGAATTAATTTGAATTCCTGTACCTATAGCAAGGTCCTTTGAGAATACATGGAGTGTCATACTCCTTGTCAACCAATTAATGTACAAGAAGCTTTATTCGTTAATTATATAAAATAATACATACGTTGGCTGCGGTACGCACAATTATTGATTTCTAAACTACAGTATCATACTTTAAATTTCGTCGATGTTGACAGTTTATGCTAAACGCGATTTCAACCCAAATGGCCAAGAAGAAAAGGTTTACTGTATCATTACAGTCTTGGATTAACAAATGCCATGTTTGTTTCGGATTAAAATTAGATTTTAATCTAAATCAAAGTAAAACAATCAATATTAACCACGTCTTTCATGGGTCCCACAACTTTTCAACCACATATTTCAAAAACTTCTATTATGTACTGAAAATCTAATTTTAATTCCCACCAAACACTCAATTATAAGGTATTTAAACCTCTTGTAAAGCTTAAATCACGCATTTTATGTACATCAATCTTGATTTTATGCATCGTTGTAGTATTATTCCTCTAGAAATTTGGGAATAAACACTACAACGACGAAGGTGATTAGTAACTATTCAAAGATTTTTCAGGTTTATAACATTATCAAAAAACAATAATATTCACAGAATTGACCCAAGCAACAAACAAAAAAGGTTAAATAAAATAATGTAGTCATAAATGTTGTAGAATTGTGGGATAATTGTTGATGATTATGAATCAGCCTTGGTGTACAGGTAGGGGTTCACACCGAACACACACAAACAGGGGTGGGTGGGTGGGGTGGGTATTTTGGGGTATTTTTTAATGAGGCGGACCCGCCTCGTGTGAGAGGCTAGGCTCTGCCATGCCTTTTACATGCCTGACAGAGTAGCATAATTCTATGATTATTTTTTCATATTCGCATATTTAGATAAGTCTTGGTTACTCTAGAAAATGTATTTTGTTCAGGTTGTAACTTTCATTGAAACCCTATAAATACTTCATCGTCATAATGAAATATGTATTTGAGTTTTGACACTCCTAATATATATTTTTCAATTTTATAATACGTTGTCAGCGTGAGTAATGAGCAATTGAGTTAGAAAAAATTCCTCCCCGAAAGAAAAGCTAAGAATAGGCTATGGTAATTTTGATGATGTCACCACGAAGTTTAAGGTATGTTTTTGCATTCGAATTTTGTTGGCGATTGATGAGAAATTTGAGCAAATGGGTATAAGCTACCATTTGTGAAGTAGCTGAATCTCGCACGAAATTTTGGCCAACTGAGAAAGTAATATACAAACCAAATACATAAATATTTGTTGATGTTCCCGAACAAATATAATTCAACTATCTAAATATTTAAGAAAAATACTATTTCGTTATTCTTGAAGAAATCAATATTTCACATAAAATCAATAATTATATTTTTATTTTTATAAATGTGTTAATGTTCGTGAATAATCATAATTATATGCAAATATTGTATTATCTAAAATAAATTTGGGTTGTTATTTCAAAGAATGACTTTGGTATTTCAAAAACATTATCATGCTTATACTTTTGTGAAAGTATAATTGTATACAAATTAGTACTCTAATATCTCTAATTTCTAAAGAAATTAGATATACGTATGTAAATATCTTATAAGGATTTTAAATATTCAATTACGCTTCGGAATCATTTGATTCTTTGCCAATTTATCATTTGTATGCAAATCCTAAACATAAGTATGTGATTCTCCTTAAGAAACAAAATTTTAAAATCTATTAATATTTCTAAAGAATATATGTTTTAGTTTTTCATTAAATTAAAAGCAACATTATATTAATATTTCTAAGAATAATATAGTATCGTCCCTGAAAAATTGAAATTTCTAGATATTAATATTCTTAAAAAAAATATTATTTTGTTGTTCTAAAAAACTCTTAGGGTCCGTTTGATTGTAAGGGTAAAAAATGGGTGAAAAGAAAATGAATTCTAATGAAAGTAATTGCCTAGAAATTATTTTTCAGGAAATTGTTAATTATGTGTGTTTGATTTGTATAATTTTCCATCCGAAAAATTTTAAATCTTTTTGTGTTCGTTTGACTTTGTTTTTCATGAAAATTATCCATTAAAGGGATATAATTTGTTACAATTGGGGATATAATTTGTTACCATGACCAAAAAAAAAGAGAGAAGCTTTTCCTAAAAAATAAAGAAAATGTGAACATCAAACATGCAAAAAGGTGGAAAATGAAATTTAAGTTCCATCTTTCATGAAATTGAAGTGCAATCAAATAGAGCCCAACTGTTTATCAAGATTTCACACGTTAGGCTTCATCGAAAAAGTAAAAGAAAAAGAAACGAAGTTGAAGATCGTAACTACTCGGACTGTAAAGAGGTTCACTTCTGTGAAGCAAAATAAACAGCATACCGTTCATTTAAGAAATGGATTAACAGATACGCGGCTTCTGTACGCTAGATACTTGAAGCACATTTTAAGAAATGGGTAAATAGATACACGAGGATTCTTTATGCTTTGAATAATCACTTGATGAAGCACAAATCATTACGCTCAACATTGAGTTCTTGATAGCTTTGAAGATCCTGTGAAGCAAAA